ATGTTTCAGGCAAAGGACAGACTTCCATCATTGGCTGAAGAAATACTGAGAATTGGGAGCATTTGTACACCGGGGCCAGAACTAACCTCTGAAGCTCCAGTTCAATCATTATCCAACGAACTTGTTGTAAAGGAAAAGAAAACTAGAGGATTATTCACCACCCCTGTCCGTTGTGGGCGTTAGTGTTCTGTAAGTTCTTGATGGTTTCATTCAAAATTATGCAATATGGGATGAACATTTAGCTTCCGTAGTTCCTTAGGGATAAAGAAACAACACAATCTTCTCAGAACCCCTGTCATTTCAGAAAATGTATTCTGTTACTCACGTTTTAATCCGTGCACAAATTGAGGTTACTTCATCTATAAATGATAGAAGTTCTCCGGGGATTGTGCCAAACACATTGTGTAATATTTGCCCTTAACGCGTACACACGAGTAGCGGTTGTGCTGAAAAGCTAGAGGATTCTTTGCAGGGTAGCTTAGGTCAAAATATGTTTGATGTTGTTTCTTGCAGGAAGGGAATCATGATAGATGACATGTTAAAGGAGATAAGAAAGCTTTAAGGGAGTGCATGGATTCCACTGAAGTATCATCGGCTTTGAATTCGCCCTTGGAAATTGGGAAGTGATGTTTTGTCGAAACCGCATTGGTCGCAAATCTGGAAGTGACTACCACAGAGCAAGATGAAAAAATTGCAAATTGATTCTGGCGAACAGACCTCAAAGACTGAGGAAGCATTGCTTGTGGACCCAGATCCTCATCCGCGGATGGTTGGGAGCAACATGGCAGAGTAATTATTAGGAGCCATGAAAATGAATTGATGATACCTTTATAATAAACGGTGTTCTGTAGTTACTGTGACATCCAAGTTAATATAGTGATCAGCTTGTTACTTCCGAGTTGTGGCTGTAAATATGCAAAACATGATGCCGTGATGGAAGCGTACATGGGTGCGCCCTTTTAATGTAATTCTGAACTTCTTGATCAATTGTGAGGACAACCAATGCCATTTATTGGGATCTACATCCATCTCACAGGCTACTGTTATTAATCTGTCTTCTGCTTTAATGTCTATTGCTTTTCAACTGACATCATTTTTTTTCAATTATCTGGAGACATAGAAGATGATAGTGAAACCACATGATGTCCGATTGTGGACGGACTAAAGAGAGTGGTCCTTTCATCTTCTATCACTCAATTTAGGCTAGCCTAGAGCATTTGGATGAAACTTAAATAACTGTTAAAAGACGGGTGAGGATGTAAATGGTTCAAGGTTGGAGTTTACATCTTCTCTGCACAAATATACCCATAAATAAAATGAGAGACATTATAAGCGGAACTACAAGAACTTGTGCACTTAGAGCCTACAATATATGTTGCAACTATGACTCGTTGATTACCTCTGATCCCTGTTTGGGAAATGTTGGAGCTGTTTCACATGTTTTGTCTACTATTAGGAGCGGTGTAAACGCGACACAAAAAATATGGTATGCAATCTATCTATATAAATAACAAAAAGGGGTCGTCCATGCGTATGTTCGCCTTGTGTGTGTGTGTGTGTCATAGCGTGCTATCTATGTTGGTGTCTATCCAATCTCTCCTTGCCGTCCACCGATGCACGAAGTTTCTGGCTAAGAATTAGAGCTGTTCTGCATCGAGGACAAGGGGGATTTTGCCTTTGGAGCATGTTCCTGGAGGTTCTTTTATCAGTATATGCAAGGAGGTCAGAGAAAATATTGAGGACACTACATAATAATAGTAATGATAATGGAAATGAGAGGGAGAAACAAATACAGTGAACGTGCATAATAAGAGGGGTGGGGAAGTACATGCGCCGATCATTTTCGGTAAACTCACAGTTATGTCGCATGTGGTAGTGTGCGCCTGAGTCCATTGGATCTGGAATCCGCTCTTGCGCGCACAGAAGCCCAAGCCCTGCGATTCAACCACGTCCCACCCACTGCGTCCCTAATTGTCATGTGCGAGCTTTTGGAACCCCCGCACGTACTTATCTTCAACCGTTTCTTCCAAATCACACCGCTCCTCCGCTCGCTTAAATGCTCATTATCCACTTTTCGTTTTGGCCGAAATAAATCAAAAAAAAAAAATTACTTCCATTATCCGAACAACCGCCTCCTCCCCCTCGCCCCTTTATTTTAACACCATCATCATCATCACGATTATTATTTGGCAAAAAAGATTTTTGGCCAGCTGAGCTCACACGAAAACAAAAGGGGTGGCCAAGTGTGTAATAGAGAAATCAACAATGAGGCTGTCAGTGGACACGATCTGACTGCTTCATCGTGCCAAGTAGCAACCCAAGCCCACCTCAGCTGAGGCCACGTTTCAGGTACTTGCGTACACTAGTCTCTGCTTTCACATTATCATCTCTCTTCCTCTGCCCGCTATATAAGCACTCGCCGTCGCCCGTGTGCTTCCCTTTAAAGCCGAGCGCTTATAATTCTACAGCTGCTCGCAAGCCCCACTCCTCTTCCGCGAGAATGCTGAAATCAGGGATGGGAATCGAGGAACGAAAGCAGGTGAAACGGCCTGCCCAGGCCAGCTCCAGAAAGGGCTGTATGCGTGGCAAGGGAGGCCCCGAGAACGCCAGCTGCACCTACAAAGGCGTTCGCCAGCGGACTTGGGGCAAATGGGTCGCCGAAATCCGCGAGCCCAATCGCGGTGCTCGTCTCTGGCTCGGCACTTTCGAGACCTCCCATGAAGCTGCTCTGGCCTACGACGCCGCTGCTCGCAAGCTCTACGGATCCGAGGCCAAGCTTAACCTCCCCGACCTCTCCCTCAATTCTCACCAGCCCGATCCGCCCCATTCCTCTGCTCCCTCCCTGCAGATTCCTCAAATGGTGCCCAATCACCGGCCTGTGCCGGATCATCAGCTGCTCCACCACCCGGCCGGCCATATTCCTCCCTGGTCTTTCAACGCCGTCCCCAACGATGCTCCGATGATCTCAGTGGCTTCTCAGCAAGTTGCACCGGTGTACAGCCCTAACTCTAGCTCCAGCTCCGGCTCCACCATGTCCGTTCCCTTCAGTGCCGGGGAGAGCGTGAAGGCCATTGAGAAGGAGGAGGATTTCGGTCAATTCTGGGGGACCGTCAACGGCCTTCCTGTCCCCGAGTTCGACGATTCCATCTGGGCCGAAGCTGCCATGTCTCTGGATTTTCCCGTGATGTCTGATGCGGGCATATATGCGACTGGCAATCTGGGAGATGTGGCTCCGTGGGACTCTCTGCAGACCCCCTGGTGCATGTGATCGCCCTTCGATCGCATTTACAGACTTCATCACTGTCTATACCATCACATACCGCCATATATACCAGCATGGTTCATACACACATATAGGACGCTCTGTAAATACATATACACATGATCACTCTAGCTAGCTACTCCTGGCTAGTTACAGCCTAGAAGCATCAGTATATGTATATGTCTTATATCTCAGTCCTCTCGGGGTCGCGACGCCGTGGTTATTTCTGCACGCCGCCGTTGGCCTTTTTTCTTATTATATATTTTTATCATATATATGTAAATAGGTTTTTTAGGTTCTCTTTCTTTTTCTTTCTTTAATATTGAGTCATGTAGTTACTTTTACTTCAAGGGGTTATATATATATATATATATATATGGGAGCTAGTCTAGTGTATGGAGAGATGGTGATGAAGAAGACGGGTTCGTGGTTGTATCAGTTATATAAATCAGTCACGTGCCTTGGCCGTGTGGGCCCTTTTCTATCTATATATAATATATATTATATGTGTTCTGTGTTTCGTAAGTGAACAAGAATGCGTACATGCACTTATGAAATCAGGTTCGTCTTGTGCTGCGGAGTGCGGATGATGCTCTAATGTATTTTGAGCAGCCATGGCTTGTTTTATTTTTATTTTCCGATGTTAAAGATTCCGTCGTACATGTGTGAGATTCTAAGCCACCATTTCAAGTCAGAAGATTCTTTTTTTGTTTCGGCTTTTGATCTCGATCGAGTCGGGCCTTTTGTTTGTTTCGGGAAAAAGATAATAATAAACGAAAACGTTTATCGATCTTTCGCATCACAATTTGGTTTCGGAAATGCTAATGCACAGGAGAGGCGCGTCCAGTTAATTCTGATGTGAATTGAATTGGTGAGCGAGCTTTAAAAATAAAAATAAATATATAAAATTTGATCCTTACACTTTATGTTTGTTCTAAATCTTTGTATTTTTTTTATATTTTAAATTCTTACATTTTTATTTTTTAATATTTTAAATTCCTTTAAGATGTTTACATTTTATTTATTTAGGGACCTAAAATATTAAAAAATAAAAGTACAAAAATTTAATTAAAATATAAAAAAAGTGTAAAGACATAAATTACAAAAATTAAAAGTTATGTTTTTTCAAAAATAAATATGAATATGAATGTAATAAATGAGAAATCTGCCGCTGAAATTAATTAAATACAAATGTAATGAATGAATTTCCAGCAGAGCCGCAGAAGGACGTAGGTTATTATTTTGGTGAAAATTTGAAGAAAAGGACAGCGGAAGGCTCGTAATGATGGAAGGCATGTTCAATGTACATTGGGTTGGGACGTACGTCACCATTTTTTAAAATACGCACACAAACACTGTTCAGAAAACCGCCTGTTTGTCTTCGTCCCCGCTCTTAGAACTTGTTCGATTTTTTCTATCTTTAGTGCTTCTCTAGTTCTCTTGCTTATAGTTCACATTCCACACTCTTGCAGTTACACTGTTAAATAATCTGTGTTGGAGGAATCACATTTCCGTCCGAAATTTCCCCAATATTTATTTTGACGCCTATATATTGTCATTTTAAATAATATTCTATTCTCAAAGTTCCCACCATATAAATTCTTCTAATTCAAATCAAATTTGTTGACAAAAATAGTTAAGATGTAAATCCCCTTATTAATGTAAAGACTTTATTAGTAAACGTTTTGTAAGTATCTTTGTAATCACATTTTAAGTCTAGAGGCATGCTCTTGTCCTCATTTTTTATGATCCAACTCATTTAAATTTTTGATTATAAAAAAAAGTTAAGATGCACCGACTTCATTCAGTTTTAATACATCAACTATAAAGTTTGACGTGATATAAACGCTACTCCAAACATGCACTTCATATATTGAAAATTGAGCACGACACGTAACTCAAAAGATTATATGATTATCTTAAATGTCGCAAATGAATTGATTATTTTAAAAGTATTTAATCAAATATTTAATTTATTTATGTAATTAATGAATATAGATGGTTTTAAATTAAACATTGAATCTAGTATTTAATTTATTTATGAGTTTTTGTGATAAATTCTATATAGTTTTTTTTTACCAAAATAAATTCTATATAGTTGAATAAGCTACACACATTTGTTTTATTTTATCCATTATATAATCTCTTATTGACAGTCCATATCAATTTTTCATCGTGTAAGCTCTTTTAATTCCATCAAATATAAGTTGAAGTATTGATAGTTTGAAAAATTTTATCAAATCATTTGACATGCTAACAGAATATATGTGTGTAAGTCAACGTGACGTGCCTACCGGTATTCAATTTATAATAGATAAACTATTCTCTACAAATTATAGTTTAAATCTCCATTAATTAAGTTGAATGAACCTTAACACATTGTTATAACTATATTGGAGGCTTCTTTTATGACACTTTACCTCAAATTTTGGTCACACAAACTCTTTTAACTCCAATGTATCTGAAGTCATTTAACAAGACATTTTAATGATGTAAGAAATTAAGCAGTCGAAGGCTGTAAGCCGCCCGGTGATTTTCTCATTTGATGTTTGTTAAAAGAAACAACGCTAAACGAGGTTTTTTGTGATTGTCCCATTATCCCAGTAACATTTAATCGAACATTTGTGAGGATTGTACTCCAAGGTGATAAATTCTATGTGGAGCGGAATAAATGTTTTGTGCGTTTTATTGTTGTGCTAGTCAAATGGGTTTTAATCAATTTGACAATATAAATAATCAACCATTTCATTTGAATGAGTA